CGTCATACACGCTTCTAATTTGGCAATACGAAAGTCAGGTGACTGCCCGAGTTGCAAGTTTTAACTTATTATAAAAACAGTTATTTTTAATGATTAAGTAAAATATCGATCATTTTAAGACACGTCACTAGTTCGAGGATCATTAAAAATAACTGTTTTTATAAGAAGATACAACTTCATGCAAATACTTTTAGAAAATTAGAGAAGACTAGCAAACCAGTGAACCAAATGTTCACCAAAACCTGATTTAAAAAAGAAAAATGTATTTAATTAATTGAGAACTTCGGAGATTTTGTGTGGTTTCGTTTGAAATTCGTGATTTCCCGAAAACCGGAAGTGTTACGTTACTCAAATCCGGTTCGTAGTCTTATCAGACTATTCTTAACTTATAACTTAAATATTCTCTTTATCTATCTCTTACGGTTTGGCCGCTGAAACAGCACCACAGACAGACGGACGGATGGACTTGTCTAATAGATAAGAGATTCCTTATATGATGTACTTCAACGCCCTTCAAGCTTTATTGGTATTTTTGTAACATCCTGTATATTTATATCATTATCCATAAAGGATGATTAGGACGTAAGTACCTGTATTAAAAATATATATATAATATCCCTGTACCTTAAGAACGAACCGATATCGAATTCCAAAAGGTGAAGAAGCACTTTTGATTTTGATTTGAATTCAACTATTGGATTTTATGATTTGTATGACATTTTGAACAGCGCCACAATGGATGTAACGAGAAAAAAAAGACGACCTCCGGGGCCGAGTGGTTTGTACGCCGGGTTTCATGGTGTCGCCGACTCGAGAGGTCCCGGGTTCGAATCCCGGTGGGTGGGTGGGATATCGATACAAAGGATACCTACATGTAACGATGAAGATGTTGCAGCGCCTGAGTAAATAAGGTACAAGAGCAAAGCTTCATGCAGTGGCTGTGTACAAAATAAATGGTACAGAAGGTAATCTCATGTATTTACTTTGTGCCGACTGGGATTCTAAGAATACTGACTTGATATAAGCGTCGACGCGCGGTCCGCGGTGACGCGAGCCAGTCGCACATAACCACCGATCCCGTCAGGTTCATTCTCAAGTCATTGTAATAGCACGCATAACATTTAGAAAATAAACATAATATTTCGGAGTCAGAGTAATTAAGAACAGCCGTGGTAAATTGAATAAACAGTTAGTGATTAACCTTACACCCTTTTAATTAACGTTCCACAGTCATCACCACTATCATAGCGAACTCTATTACATACCTAGAATTAAGCCTTAAACTTCACTTTTCATACCTACGCTCGGTGATCGCGCTAGGATTATCAACTTGGCTTTTGTACAAAAAATCGTGATAGTGGTATTCGTTTGATTTCTTGTTGAGAATGATACAAGGAGAATGGAAATAAGAAACCTTGGTTAAGGAACTCTTCTTGTCAGATGAGCATCATTCTCATTAAATCTTGCTTCGTTAGCATATACCGGCTATTGCATTATATTGTGAAGTGTGTGAATGTCTGTGTATGCCTATATGGTTACTTTTATTTTTAATTTATTTAATCCATTCGCCGTTGAATATTTTTTACAGAACTTTTGTCTTGAACTCCGCACAGCCTCCCTTATTATTATATTTTTTTTTCTTGCTTTATATTTTTTCCATCTCATTGGATTGTCTGGAAGACCGCCTTTTGTGCAACTGTAATTGTTTTTGCCTTGTTTTTTTATTGTTGTGCAAAAATTTTTTTTTTCTCAAATATAAATCAATAATAAATTAAAGGATTCCGATTTTAATGTGATTGTTATATTATGTACAATTAAAAAAAAACAACAATTTACCTTTTAATGTTTCAAATTCAATTCAAACAACCGCTATAATAACTTTTTCTTTGTTTCTCTATTTTTGCACAAAATAGTTCGAGACGCGTGTCTTAGGCGGATGGAACTCGCGCTGACACTGTTCAAAACCAATAGTTAAATAGTTTGTCAACATCCAGACGAGCGTTTACCGGAAAAGGTGCTATGCGAATCGATATGTTATTCAATCGATCCCTCGCATCGCATCGCCAAAAGGCATCCCCTGACGTCAGCTCTTCCCGACAATTACCGGTAATGAGAAGATCCCGAACGTGTCTGAACTCGGGATGCGGCGCTCACTCGATTGGACATATCGATACTACTCGACTCGTGACGCTCACTCGATTACGATGACTCGACACTTTCGATGAGACGACATCTGACAGGAGGATGTGTGTGCTGCGTTACTTATGACTTGAAACTTTTATTGAAACTGGTTCCGGAAACGTGTAAAGTTATTTCTTGATAACAGTAATAATATTCTTATTTGATCATTATAAACTAGTTACTTGATTATATCTAAACAGTAAAACCTATTACGCACAAACATACATACACCCATACACGTATTCATGCATAGGCACACTTATGTCTAAGTTCTAAATAGAATTAAAAATATATATATGTATTAGTAAAATTTCCATAAAATATGGATATGTGATGGAGGAGCGGAGTAACCTGGCACAGTTTTATTGACTCTGCACGTTCTTTCCGGTTGACTGGTAGAGAATGTCATACTGGCATTAAGTCCGCCATAATATGCAATGTAAAGGCATTAAAGATTAAATAAATAAATAAGTAACCTGGTACAAGCACTGATCTGCTTAAAAGGGGACTCCTGCTACTAACTATTGTAAAGCAAATCATTTATGAATACCACATATTGATAAATTGTCAAATAGACTTATCTGCAGCGTATGCTGTAATGAAAATACGCCAGTTAACGGATGTAGATACGGCCAGATTAGTGTACTTAAGTTATTTCCATAGTGTAATGTCGTACGGAATTTTATTGTGGGGAAATGCCGCCGACATTCAAACTATTTTTGTGCTGCAGAAGAGAGCTATTCGATCAATTTATAATCTTAAAGTTAAATAATCGTTAAGGGATAAGTTCAAAGAATTTGGAATAATGACGGTCGCATCACAATACATATACGAAAATTTATTATTTGTAAGAAAAAATAATAATTTGTTTCTTAAAAACAGTGATGTTTACACACTTAATACAAGAAACAAAAATAAACTAACTTTACCTGCTACTAGGCTTCACAAAATCAATAATTCATTTAAAGGTCTTTGTGTTCGCTTATACAATAAAATCCTAAGCAATATCCAAGAGTTAACCATAAATAAATTTAAAGATTGTATAAAAAAAGCACTTATTAAGAAAGCTTATTACAAAGTGTCTGATTATATTACAGACAAAAATGCTTGGGTTTCAACTGTTCCAATCATTCCAACAGGGTTTCTATATTAAATAAATCATAATTGTATTGACGTTGTAACAACATTATGATTTGTAAATATTGTTACATTAGACTTAATGTTCTGGAGTTTTTTTCGCTCGTTTTTCTCAGCTGCTAAAAATATGTCCATAGCGAGTGCTAGGGGAAAAAAATTGGACTATTCAAAAGAGTTTTACATTCAATTTGAATAAAGATATATTGATTTCTGATTTCTGAATAAATTATTATTATTATTACGCAGAATTAGATCCATTGCTCCCAAAGTTTTGCACTAAATTTTAAAACCTAGTTTTCGCTTTTCTGATTAAGTCCGAAAAAATACTCAAAACTAAAATAGCTCTTCAACCTGGTATTCTAGGCACCGCTCCTGTAATTTTCTTCCCGCTGCGGCAGAATATCTGTCGAAATGGCGGCTCTCACACCATAAGAAAGACGACTGAGGCTTTCATTACGGATAAAATGGACTGCCATGAATGCTAGTTTTAGTACTAGATTGTGGAATTTTCTCACCTGATTTCTCCAAAGCTAAAATCTCCACAACACTTCACCGTTCCCTGTTCTTCACAGTTAAGCTGTATTTTGTGGCAATTTCTTGCCTGATTTCTTTAAAGTTAATAATAGGTTTTTTCTTATTAAATTGCGGGTAGTGGCTTTTGCATGTCCACTTTTTTCCTTTTTCCTAAAAATTCTAAGGTCAAATTATTTTTAATTTTAAAATATGGAATTATTTTTTGAAAATAAGTCATGTGTTTATTTAGTGGTTAGTGTTATGTTTTCAGCGAACTTGTAAGATTTTCGTTATCATCATCATGTTATCGTCTCATACATTAAAAATTCGAGTGATTATGATGTATGAGTACCGTCGGCATCGTGGCAGTAAAGCGGCAGAAGCGGCACGCAACATCAAGGACGTATATGGAGCGAACACTATTGACTAACGATCGCGCCACCAGTCAAAGTTTGCCCGCTTCCGTTCTGGAAAGGACATTGGACAAAAATGTATGGACGCTGCACCCACGTCCGCCACGGCTTAAACTACATTTGTTTGAAAGGTATTATAGTCATGATCATATGTGACAAAGCGCATCAAATTCCATCCCGGGGTCTTTAGATAAAAATCAACCAAGTGACAGGGAGGGAGCGCACAATCACAACGAAGTAAGATGAGTCGAGTATTTGCAACTGCAAGTCCTTGATCCCCCGTAAACCGTTTTGAGGTGGCTCAATGAGTGAAGCGCAGGATGGTCGGCAGGCTTTGTCGTATATCTGGTTGTATATAGTATGATATGGCATATTATTATGGTTACTAATAACATAAAATGAAGGCACTATAAAGTGAATTTATTTAGCTACTTAAATTTTAAGTGAATTCACTTTGCATGGGCATATTTAATATGCCCATGTGTCATATCTTTTGACTACCAGGATATTTTTTTACGGTGTCATAATAAAAAAGGCTAGTTTTTCATAGATCTTTCGATCCATACTAATTACATTGTTGGCGGAGCTGGGTGTGTTTTGCCCATTGTCTTTTGGGGTGTTGTCTTTCTATTGGTGAGTAGTTGCCAGGGCTCCGTAGGGTAGGAACAGCGGCCCCCTCTTGTAGTTTTGTCCTACAAAGGGGGGGGCGTCGAAGGCTTCTTGGACGGGTACGCCCAAGAAGCCCTTCCGCAGCGGATGGGGGGTGGTATGGTGGGCACTAGGCCGCGTCCCCAGCCCCCACGCGCGGGCCTACCTGCGCACGTCTGCGGAGTCCCCGCAATACCTCGGGAGACCCCTGTCGTGGAGCCCCGGCGAGGCCGGGAAGCTGCTGGGTGTGGAGTCGTAGTAGAATCCCTAACGGGGACCTCGCGGCTTCGCATTAAGCAGTGTAGAAGGCATTTGCAGGACTTTTTTAGCGGATATTATGCTGTAAAGCGCCCGTAAGAGTTGCGAGGTCCCAGGTGGGTAGCCACTGCGGGGTTCGTAAGACTTGCGGGAGTCAGGTGTGAGGTCCGTTCGGCGGTGTGCCTCTTAAAAGCGCCGTCGTCTGTAAAAAGATTTTTTAACTACTTTATAAAAAAAGGGTTCCGTGGGGTATTAGGTTAAGGCCGGCAAGGTGAGAATGGCCAGAGACGCTATTAGAATCCATTTACTCTTAACATCAGGTGGGGAGGAGTAATTTGTTGCACCTAACTAAAAAAAAAAACTTCACCTCACTCACCCCAATTTCTCTTCTTCATGGTTAATAAATAGTTTGTGGAATTCACTCGCCTGTTTCTCCAAGGTAAAACTAAAATACCACCCCTCAAAAATGAATTTAGTGTGGCTATTCTATCGATACGCCTCGTAACCTGGTAACATCGCAAACTCCTTGGTGATGCGTGGTCCACGCACATTTGATTATCCCGGAAAGTGATTCATTGGCGGACGTGACTGGGCCTCGGCTTCGCACCACATACAGTAGGCACAGAGACAAAGTTTCATACAATAGGTTTTTGACAGTATGAAAAAAAAATGTGTGTGTCAGCTCCGACGCACGATTGGACTCCTTAAGTTCGATAGTCTAACCAGACGCAAAAAGAGTTTATTTAACTTAAAAAAGATTGATACTGTATGAAAGGGTAAATTAACAAATTAATGAAAATAATATACATATGTATATAAATATATATTTATTCATTTCATATACCGTCGTATCCCACGAAAACTGTCCCTATGATCATAGGGTCTTTTTTCTTTTATTTCTTTTTTACTTTCTACATGAATATAGGCATCTTTTAGTCTAATAACTGTCTAATAAAGTTTAAAACTTTTCTTGATATTTCAATTAATTGTAAAGCCACAATTTCATGACGGGAAAAAAATACCTAAAATATAGACTCTATTGCCGTTAGAGCCATCTTTTAGGACTGGAACTGTGTGCGTGCGGGGCGGACGGGAGGCGCGAGCGCCGCTCGGTCAGTACTCCGCGGACCGCGATTGCGAGTGCATTTGTCGTGCGTACTATAGTTACTTAGGGAATAACTTAATAATGAGGCGGCGTGCTCGCAAACTGTTGGACTTGGTGCCAAGAAATGATGTGGTTGAAGAAAAAAAAGTCTTACAAGATAGTACGAGTGAGTAAATTACAACATTATAATATAATTTTATTTACAAGCACATATTGTGAGATCGAATTATGAATAACTACCGTATTTCTTATTATGTCAAATTGATTATTTATAATAAAAAATGCTTTTAGTTTATGTAGTTATAATACTCGTAAAACACAGAATAAGGCCCTTGTGTTGATTGGGGCCTTTTTCTGCGGAATTGTAAAAATAAGAATGTATGGAAAAGAAGAAGCCGTAATGGCGTTTGTGTCTTTATTCTACTTCAAAGTATTTGTTTTGACCTAATTAATTAGTTTTGGTTATATAAAGTAGGTTACTTGCTATCTTTTAAATACCAAACGAAAGGCATGTCAGATTATAATGCGTTTTCATCTTATTTATTTAATAAATACACGTCATTTCAACAAAGTTATATAAAGGCTGTTTCGTACCTTTATTTCATAATTTGAGCCAAAATTCTTAATTTGCGAATATCCTACACCACATAAGACTTTAAAATTACCATTCTGAAGGATTTACACTTTTTTTTTCAGATGTTCCAATCGATATGAGTAATCGTATTGATTCTCCAGTACCTTCGGGTTGTGAACAAGAGATCAAGTTCTTATTGCAAGTTGAAGCAGAAGAATTTTTACAATTAAACAATAATAATGATTTGCCAGACTTTTTTGTTACTATAGAAGAAGAAACAGAACACGTAGAAGTAGAAGAAATAGCACATAAAAATAAAGAAAAAGACAAAGTACAAGAAAAAAGTAACGATGTACAATTATCACCATTGAATAATGTTGTAGAATTACCCATTGCTGAGGAGATTATGTCTCAAGAAAAAAGGGTACAAAGACAAAATTGTGTACCATCATCACCAAAAAATAGTTTAGAAGGACCAGAGGTTCTTGAAGATGAAATGATACTATCACGAGCTGCCAATACAACCATCGATTGCCCTATGAGTGAAAACTTATCAATTTTGACGACTGATTTAAATTTTAACAGTCCTACTTCAAGCTTTACGATTCCATCTCCATTATCGTCCGCTGTTTCTTCTCCAGTCGGTTCTCCTTTAGATTGTAGTAACAAACGGCGTTCTGGTAAGGTCCGTACTCGTAATTATACAGAATGGAAAGATCTTAAAAGAAAAGCACTCAAAAATTCAGGAAAACCTTTTATTAACAAAATGGGACGAGCCGTTTCCGGCAAAAAAATTAAAGAGCCTTGCAACTGTCCAAAGAAATGTTTTGAAAAAATTGAAGAAAGTTGCAGGGAACATGTTTTTAACTGTTTTTGGGATATTGGAAGTCATGAGAAACAATGGGATTTTATTGTGAAATACACTAGGTGCCACAAACCAAAACGTATTAAAGCAGAAGGGCCAAATAGAACACAAACAAGGATTTATAATTTACCAATTAACAAAACTGAGACAGTTCAAGTCTGTCGGAAAATGTTTTTGAACACTCTATCAATTAGTGAAAAAACTGTACGCACCGCATTCATGAAAGTTAATACATCGATGAATGAACATCGCTTAAGTGACTTGAGAGGCAGACATCTTAACCGGCCAAAGAAAATAAAAGAAGCTGTAGTCGATAGTGTGAAAAATCATATTGATTCTCTGGCGCCTGTTGAATCGCATTACTGCCGTAAAAACAGCACAAAGAAATATCTGGACGGGCAGCTATCATACAAACGTCTGCATAACTTATACACAGAATGGTTTTTGCATGAAAACTATGACTGTGAAATGGCTTCACTTCGTCAGTATCAAGATATTGTCAACAAAAATTTTAATATTGCTTTTTACCATCCAAAAAAAGACCAATGCGATAAGTGTCATGCTTTCTTTTGTAACAAGGAACCAACTGACACACAAAAGCGTGAACAAGACCTACACATGCAGCGCAAAAATTTTTGTAGGACTGTTAAAGCGGCTGACAAAGCTGAAGCTGAAAGAAACAGCAGCATAATAGTAGCAACTTTTGATATGCAAAAAATTTTGACTTGTCCTTTCGGAAATGTAAGCATTTTTTATTATAAGAGGAAACTAAACCTCTACAACTTTACTGTATATGATGTGGCACAAAAAAGTGGTTACTGCTACATGTGGACAGAAGTGTTTGGTAAAAAGGGAGCAAACGAAATAAGCAGTGGCTTAAACTTGTTTATAAAGACGAAAATTGATGATGGTGCTAAAATTTTTAGATTTTGGTCAGATAATTGCTCTGGTCAAAATCGTAATCGTATAGTCTTTGCATTTTATCAGCATGTTCTTGAAAAGTTTGATATAGAAAGTATAACCCACCGCTTCCTTGAAGTTGGGCACACACAAAATGAAGGGGACAGTGTCCATTCAGTTATAGAAGGAGTTTCAAATAGGAAGACTATATATACTCCCGACCAATGGGTAAATCTAATTAGATGGGCCAAAACTACAGGCGAAGCATACAGAGTTAAGGAAATGGCTTTGACAGATATTTTTAACTATCGATCTTTACTTAATGGGAAAAATTGGACTAAAAATGATGACGGAGAAAAAGTAGTATGGAGTAAGATTAAAGAAGTGCATATTACTAAAGAAAATTATAATGTAATAAAATATAAATATGATCTTAATGAAGAATATGACACAATGACAACATTAAAAAAAAGTAGAAGAGGAAAGAAAACAATACCGGATCCAGAAGTCCAACTTGCCAATACGACTCCTCTTAAAGTTAAATATGATAAATACAAAGACTTAATGTCAATGTGCGACTCAAAAATAATCCCAGATGAATTTCATTCATTTTTCCGAGGATTGCCGTATGAGCAAATACCGTTAGGGAATGATAACAATACAGAAAGTACTGACGAAGAAGATGATTAGTGAGTTAAATCTTAAATCGAAAACTTAAGTAAGATATTTTGTTTCGATGACTGATGTGGATAAGACTGATTCAATAATAATCAAAGAGTGTTAAGTTTTGTTTTTGCTATATGATTATCAAAAGGATTATTTATATCTAAGAAGTAATCATGTTTTTGTATTTTTTTATGTTACGTTAATTTGATTATCTGATCTCAATTAGTTAAGGCGTTTTAATATTAATAAAAGAAGAAGTGTTTTGTTTTTGGTTATTTTTTGTTAAATATTACAGTTTTTTTTATATTATGAGAGGTAATTATTTTTTTATAGTGTCATCCTCTTTTTGTTCTAAACAAGAATTTTATTTAAAAATAAACAAACATATATATCAAAATAAGTGTTTATTTTAATACAGCAGGTACGTAAAGTATTTTATATAATTATAATAAGTAACCTGATAGTTTTATCGAGCAATATAAATAATGAAAAAGCATTTATAATATTTTTAAATAACCTAATGGCGATAGTTGCCTTAACATTTCCGAGGAAAAAGGTTATAATATACCTTAGGGCCCATGTTGGGAGCTTTTTAGTGGAAATATAACGCAGAATAAGGAATTAAGGGATATAACTATTAAAATAATCATTATTATTACCAATAAAATTACTCAGGGCAACTACAAGATGCAAAAACTACATTGTGGCCCGTCCTCGCTTCACTTCGGTGTAGAACTGTAGTGTAGACTATAGTTTTTGCTCTCCTGAAAAGTTGCTGTTTTGCAATAACGCCCCTTTTCGTCGGATACGACGATTTATTATAACTAATCGACGAAATAACTTTTTACAATAGTCAATTTCAGATGTGCATAAATATATCATTAGGAATGTTGATAAATTATGTAATTATTATTATCAGACTATTATCATTTTTTTTAAATATTAATTAAATCAACATTGTCTGCATTATTAATTACAGTGACAAGTGGTTTATGGTAACTAAAATAAGACACATGGACGTTCATAGATACGTGGTTCACGAATCTTGAAAATACCGCATCAAAGGTTGTACCATACCTCGTTGTCCCCATTGCTCTATCAGAAACAATATCTAAATTCAGTTCAGATTTTTAAAATTTTATTAATGTCAATCCGTCATCTTTGTTTGTCAAAGTTGCGCGACATAGGATGCACACAAAAACGTAACAAGGTCATTCATCGATAGATTTTACTTCTCACATTTTTCTCATACCGGGCCCCTTATATATGCAAATCAATTCTTAAGGAGTAAACTCCAAAATGACCCTTTATTGGCATGTGTATTTAACATGAATATTGGTATTGATTTTAAAAAAGTACTTGATAATATCACTAAAAATTATGAAAAAGAAAATTATTTTGTGGTCTCTTGTCACGTGATCGAAAGCGCCTGGGATTGGCGATGCCTAAACTGACGTCACCTGCTTGTAAACATGCTGTCGAGTGACATAACGTTGTTAACTATTTGATGTTTTAATGAGAGCCGCGTGACGTCACCTGCTTGTACGACGCCATATTTAGAAACGTTTCCGCGGCATATTTGAATACATAATTTTTATTTTCGTCTTTTTGCTAATATACGCAACAGAATGATAATTCTTTCTAATATATAAAATTCCCGTGTCACGGTGTGCGTAATTGAACTACTCCGAAACGGCTCGACCGATTTTCATGAAATTTTATGTACATATTCAGCAGGTCTGAGAATCGGACAACATCTATCTTTTCATCCCCCTAAATGTTAAGGGTGGTCCACCCTTAATTTTTTTGGACTTACTTGCTAGAATATGTAGTAAATCACTTTTCTTTAGTCGCAAGTGTCTATTAGTTTCAATATCACAGCATTTGTATCCTATTGAAAAATGCTAAAACATAAAAAGTATAAATTTATTTAAATGTATTTTTTTTAAGATTTATCTTAAAAAAAATACTGAAGAAAATTCCACGCGGACAAGGCAGCAGACGGGACTCGAACCCGCATCCTTCGCTATCCGGGCGAATGCACTGACCATTATGCTACCACTGCCCTATTAGCCGCGTCGAAATTTTCCTAGCCTTAAGCTGCAAGGCAGCGCCATCTCTTCGCATTGTAGGTAACCCACAATGTCAAATGAATACTTTTTCAAGTATTAAACATTTGAAAGAAGAAATAGCAATCATAGTTATGATTTTATTTATCTTTTAAGCATTTAACTGCTAGATGTTTAAATCTAAAGAAAAGTTTACTAGAAAAAAATCCACGCGGACCAGCGTGGATAACTATATTTGGTTAGTTTTCACCAAAATGGACATAGAAACATAATTTACAATTACGAAAACTATGATAGTTTTCGTGAGCTTAAACTTGTACTAAGTGTACAGTTCTCGGTCTCTAGCGAAAAATAAATGTTACAATGAGCAAATAGTTCACTCACGCAGTTTTGAAGCTGATTTATTTACCATATTTTCGTGTGCTTTTGAAGTTATCGCTTAGGCATAATAATAAAATTTATTTTTGCTACATACCATTGAAACCTAGAAAACTAAGTGGGTCGATAGATGTGTCTGGAAGTATTTAATAAATTGACGACCTCCGTGGCCGTGTGGTTTGTACGCCGGGTTTCATGGTGTCGCCGACTCGAGAGGTCCCGGGTTCGAATCCCGGTGGGGGCAGATGTTTGTGTGATGAATACGAGCATTTGTACTCCAGCCATGGATGTTTAGTATGTATATCTATATAAATATACTTATATATGTACTGTATATGTATTCTATCCGTTACCCTAGCATCCCATAACACAAGCCTTACAGTGCTTACTTTGGGGCTAGGCTAATTGGTGTGAGTGTTGAAAATATTTATTATTATTCAACCTGTTTCATAGCTAACATCATTGTTAGCTATGAAACATCACACCATTGTGACATAATGAAAATTTAATTACCATTTCACAAAGCTAACTCAATAATATTGAAATAGGCATTCACAACAGCATAATTGATACAGTGTGACTACCATTAAACTCGAAGTACAGATGATTTCATTATTTATTACAAACCGATTTTGAGCGGGTATAAAGTACGATTCATTTGATAACTAGCGTGCACCCGCGACTTCGTTTGCCTTAATTTCAGTTTTTGAGAATCCTACAGGCACCTTAGATTCTTCTGGGATAGAAAATATCCTATGTTTCAATCCAGGTCATAAACTATCATCATCTTTGTCGACATACATCATGACTCTGTGATCTCATTGCGAAACAAATTGTATGATCACATATATCCTTTAATTCATAAAAAAATATATAAAAATATTTTGAAACATATTTAAAGAAACACACACTATTACACACTTAATTTTAATTAAATAATATCTGCTTAAGCTTAATGTAATACATGCTGAGTTCGCCTCTAAGTGGTTACACATTATATCACTGAATATAAAATTGTATTAAATAAGATGTATTGATGTAGTAACTGTTGGTGATCCAATAAAGAGAGAAAAAAATCTTTATCGTTAGCCTATGAATGTCTCCACTGCTGGGGCACAGACCTTAACTCTTATTGGAATAGGGCCTATTGCGGATTGGTGAGTGCTAGCGACCGAAAATGCAGCCGGAACCAACGGCTTAACGTGCCTTCCGAAGTACGGAAGAGCTTGAGATAGCTAATTTGGTCAATGGTTACACATCCAATAACCGACCACTGCGAAAGTTGCTTAGCTTCAACGATCGCAGCCGAACGCGCTAACCACATGCGCGATCGAGCTCGTCCTCCATAAAGTATATGCTTACTAAAGGACATGGCTAAGAAACTGCACTTAACGTGTATATATATTTCGCACTAGCTCGTAACTTAACAATATTTTTTTATTAATTATTACGTGTTTATTATTCCCATACAGCTTTCGTGAAATAATCAAATATTTAAAAGTATATAAATTGACTTCATGTCTGTTTAAAAAGCAAAATGTTCCGTTTTACAAAATAAATGTACACAAAAAATATTTGCGTAAGTATATCGAAATAGACAATGTTATTTCTAAACTCCTTCAAACTATGACATATTTGGCCCCAATTTTTATTATAACAAATCACTGAAAACCTAAAATAATAGATTCTTTTTTTGATCGGGCTTGAGACAAGGCGGAATGATAATAAATCCTTTAATTTTTGCAAATGGATAAAATAAAATTTCACAGATTTCCTGTCAGGCTGACGATAACAAATTATATGTATTTATTTCTTAGGTTTTCACGCACATCACTCATTAAATAAAACTAGTAAAGGCTACGAAACGTCAATAAATAAATAAAGTTTTTCGTGCATTAACCCGTAAAAACTAGTTTTATTATATGTATTTATTTTTGCTTTAAAAAAACTTTTTGTGAAGAGTTAATCAGAGAAATGGGAAGAAAGATTTTAAGAAAATGTGAAATTGATGACTCTGTAAATAATTGGCAACATCTTTCATCAACTATAGTAAGGTAACATATTAGGATTTCTCATAATTATCAAGAATGTGACTTTAAAAGTTCCTGAGCCATTTTCATAGAAATTATAAATATTCAGCCATTACCATTAAATATTACTAAGTACAGTATATAATAATGTATAAACATTGCCAGGGCAGTCGCTCATACAAAACTTTACCATGTCCTTTCATCCAAATCCGTTGTGTACCTAGTTATTGCGTGATTAAGTAACTAACATACAAGCTCTCACATTTCACAAAATTAGTAGAATTCACAATCTTTCAAGCCTGTTACTACAACTTAATATACTGTTTCTATAACTTAATGACTTGACGTTTGTAATGATTGTTGTACTATTTTTAGTAAATAGTTCTACGTTGGTTATTATTGCTTAATTTAAAAAGAACTTAACAAAAAGGGTATTGTAAAGGCAACAGAGCGATGGAGTCCCAAATGAGGGATAAATATATTCACGGGATGAATCTGCAGCGATTTTTGCCACCGGTATATTTACATAGGAAACTGAATTACCTCTATTGATGCTTGGAGGGTGGGGTATCTATTAGGGCTGTCAATATCGAAACCTAGTTAACGCAAATAATAAAGTAGCAATCATATTTGCACAAGAACAGTTCAATACCGTTGTATAAATATGACGACGACCTCCGTGGCCGAGTGGTTTGTAAGCCGGGTTTCCTAGTGTCGAGGACTCGAGAGGTCCTGGGTTCAACTCCCGGTGGGGGCAGATGTTTGTGTGATTAATACGAGCGTTTGTACTCCAGTCATGGATGTTAAATATGCATTTTCTATATACATATACTAATATATGTATGTACAGTATAATTATGCATTCTATCCGTTACCCTAGTATCCCATAACACAAGCCTTATTGTGCTTACTTTGGGGCTAGGCTAATTGGTGTGTGTTGGAAATATTTATTTATTTATTATTTTTTTATAAATCTTACCCATACTTATATCAAACCATGTTACCTCTAGGATCCAGTGGGGCATATAGTGTAACAGGGGGTATAATGTCACAAAAGGATTATCTCTGTATTAAACACGGCCATTTGATGTCTGATGACAGTTCCTTAAAATGGCGGCATATGAAACTAATAAAACCACATCAAGACAGACCATAGACAAATCACGAAATGGCAGATATATTTCTTATGTTACAATTTGCCCCTTGTTACACTTTCCCCACTAGAGCCTGCTTTATTAACCCGATAAAAATAAAACGTATTATAAGTTGCACTTGGGTTTGATCTGGTCCACTCGTTCCCACGGGCTGTTTCTATATAATGGTATCCATATTTTTTTATTTATTTTTTTATAGCAAGGTAGGTAAATGACTGCTCCCCCCTGATGTTAAGTGGTGATGAGATTTTGTATTGACACTGTAGCAATGTAATATTTTGTAAATATTTTTTGGATAATTTGTTTTAGCGTCGTTGCCACAGCTGAAATAATTTCATGCTAGGCAAAATATTCTGGCGTTTCAAAACAGTCAAATTAAAGCTTCCAATTTGAATAAAGAAATTTTAGATCTAGCAAA